TAGCATTCTGGACACACCGTCACACCATAAGGTGAATAAGGTGAAGTCATGCGCGTAGCAGTCACAGCAGTACGACGCTGGCCATGAGGTTGCGCAATACAGCACGAACCCTGCGCAGTGAGGTTGCGCTATGCGGCTTCGATGCTGCGCGTGCGCGCCCGGCAGCCTGACATAGCGCGTACTGCGTTCACAGACCATATTGCTCGACACCAACGAGCATCGATGCAACACAGCCTCTCTGCAAAGCCCTGTGGGGAAACCTCTCGCTTCGCGGAGCACCATTCGACTCAGCCTTATACCCTCGCGTGGCGACATCTTACTTTCATCTTACCGCATTTACTATTATGCACCCTTCCCATCAGCCACCCACTATAGCGTGATGTCCATCCCTGGCAGTACCGGCGGCTGCGACGCAACGCGTGCAGGCCTGTAATCCTGACACAGTGCGTGTAGCTGTGGGACCATAGCTGGTTAACATGCGAGCGTTTACGCATTGCGACTTTTACGCGCGCCTGTTTTCACACACCTTCACACAAACGAGCGTCGACGCAACGCAGCCTCTCTGCAGAACCGGGTGGCGCAATCTGATCGCAACGGTGTTCCTCTTGAGCCTTCTTGTGCTCTTTGGCTTTGTTGGTTTCATCCATGACTGACCAAGGGGAACGTTCCTGAAACACTGGAGACAGTCCCTCACCAGAAAAAATCCCGACAGCTACCCGGTCCGTCTCTACCTTTTGTGTTTCCCCGCTCAAGTTAATATTTCCCAGTGCCGTCCACTACCCCTACTACTACCGGTGCCTCTATCACTCCGACCACCCCACCCCACTACGAGTCCTACCACAGTTATCACAACGACTTTCTTGTTTGCGTTGACGCTGCCACAAAGCCCACCTTCGCCTGCCATCACCACCACCACCACCACCACCACGACGACGACGACGACTACTACTACTACTACTACGACTAGAAGAAGTATGCATATTTTTTTAATGCTGATCTTTTTATTTTTTGACCTCTCCCCCGATTTAGGCTAAATTTGTTGGCAAACCTGGATTGCCCAAAGCTGATGCAAGAGTTGGCAACGTTCAAGGTTGAGCCGACATGAGCCAATATCCAATAGCCCTTTGTCAATGCTTTCGCGATTCGAGGCCGTTCCAATTTTGGCCCTGTTCCAAAACCATGGATTGCGAAGGAATGGTGCTTTCCCCTTTTTAGTTTGATGTGGAATTGTGGTGCCTATTTTATTTTTGGGTGCTATTCACTGGTGTTGCGGCGGCATTTTGTGTTTGTCCTGGAGAAACAGTTTGTTTACAATTTTTGGGGTGATTTCACAGGCGACAACCCTGTGCAATGGTTCACAATCCAGAGCGCACAGGTGATGAAGCAACGTAATGTCAGCGCAATTCTTGCCAAGCCTGTCCCACAACACAGGCCATGTGCAACCCATCATGATACATTCAACACATGCCTTAACCTAACATATCCAGTATATCCAGTGAAACTAGTGAAATAATCCTTGGGACTGTAGGTGTTCATAGCAGTTGGATTTCCAGATTGACCTTGATTTTTGTAGGGCACGCGCGCGTGATGGTGCAGACCTCCCTTGACTGTCAAGCGCCCCTGGTCCCACCATCAAGCCGGGGATGGTTGCGCTGTTGGCTGGCAGAAGCAGGTGCTCAATTGCGCTTGGCGTTGCCATTCGCAACAGGTTGGAATTAATATTCACATAATATGCATTGATTACTATGCATTTAGAGATGTTTATGGAACAATTTATCCAAGTAAAACTCAGAAGTGTCATGCAGTAGGGGTTGTTTGAACATTTTCTGACCCGCTAGGTCAGCTTATCAACTGCGCTGCGACATTTGTGACACTTCATGTTGTTGGGGGCGAAGGCACTGGTGCTGTAGCAGCTGTTGGTTTGGCAATGGCATTGTACGCTTGCCTTGGGCGAAATCTGATCATGGGTCTTTGTGGTGCTGTGGATACGATTTCCTCCCAAGCAGCAGGAGCTGGCCGCCTAGATTTGCTGGGGCCAATCTTCCGCCGTTCTTGCCTCTTCCTATTGTGCATGGCCTTTTGAAAAATATGTTTTCTGTTGTTATATCGTTTTTGTTGCGAGGGCACGGCATGAAGAAGACCCATGCACATCCAGGATGCAATGTTTTGAACAATTGAAAAACGGTGCAGGCTCCATCTTGGACCATTCACCTTGCTTTGTGTTTCGGCGCTTTGGTGGCTTCCTTTGGTCACAGAGCCTTCGATCGGACATGTCACGGCCAAGTTTTTGCTTCTTGTCATCCCTGACCTAGCCGCCCAATGCATATGGCGGCCCATGAACCGTGTGCTCGCATCTCAGCGGATCACTTCCCCATTCATGTTTGTGCCACTTGGAATTTTAAAAACATTTTTTCTTGAGACATTTAGTAGGGGAAAAGTCTCAGCCTCACTTGGAGAAGCTGTGTGAGATGTGCAAGAAAAGCAGTGAGGTCACTTCTGGCCCTGGTTTGTCACTATTTATTCTGTTTGTCTCTAGTCTCGCGTTTTGGTGCCTTGGGAGCTGCAGTAGCTACCTCCTTGAGTGGCTGGATGACCTTGTTCTTTGGCACTGCATCTGTCTGGCTGGTGGGTGCTGGTCCCACCATTTGGGGTGGGCAATCCACAGATGAGGCAATCAAGCAGGGGGGCGCGGGTTGGCTTGATTTGTCCAAGTTGGCATATCCCTCTGCAGCCATGAGAATCTTGGAGTCTTCAGGCTTCTCAGGAATTGTCACAACCAGCTCACTTTTGCCTTTCCCCAAGATTGAGGCCAGAGTTCATTTCACTTGTTCTTGGAGGTTTGGAAGGACACTGGGGACCGTCTAGTCCCATGTGACGATCCGACAGGTGGACATCATGAGCCTTTCGCTCAATGTGTATGGATGCCTCTTCACGCCGTTCCCCGCGCTGTCGGTGTGTGCTGATACGCGCGTGGGCAATGCCATTGGGAGGGGTGCTGCAATGGAAGCCCAGCGCGCTATGCGAGTGGCTGCAGTGCTCTCCATACCTTCGGCAGCAGCCGTCTCCTTGGCTTCTTGGCTTTTTGAAGCCAGAAAGAATGCTTGCATGTGACCCAAAGGATTTTGGGCGACTTAGCAACGTCAACAGCCACATTAGGCATTGTATGCATAGTCGATTAACATCGAGTTGTTGGTCACTCCATGTGGCAGTGGCACATGTGGGGCGGCAGCTTTCGACAGAATGACTGTGGATACTCGTCCTGAAGGCATGACCAGATAGGATGGCAAGATGCTTTCATTGAAAGTCAAAATTTTGAGCCAAGGTTCTGGTGGTTCCGCAGTGCAGGCAGCTGGTTGACACTGTGCTTCACTTAGACATGCTGGACGCGCGGGTGAAAGCAGGCCTAGACACCATTTTTACAATCTTCGTGTGTGGATTCTACTACGTTGATGGTTTCCAGACGGCCCTTTCCGGTGCAATCCGTGGCACGGGACAACAACAGAGGGGTGCTCGAATCTGTGTGTTGGCATACTGGGTCGCAGGCATTCCAGCTGCACTTGCTCTGGGATTTGCTGCTGGCCTAAAAAGTACGGGCTTGTGGCTTGGTATGATGGTTGGCCCGTTCGTGCAAATGGTTCTCTACTCGTGGCTGCTGGTAAAGTTGGATTGGCATGCTGTAGCTGCAACTTGTGAGGAGCGCTTGCGCCCTATGGATGAAGTTGACGACTCTGCCACGGGTGCATGAAAACTGTTGCAACCCATTCTGATTGTCCTTGCTTTGTACAGTGTACAGCCTCCAGGGCCTTTGTGACTGCAACTTAGCCAGGCAATTCGGGGTGCGCTCAAATCAAAAGCGTTACCGTAGTGTTGCAATGGCAGCTTGGAGTTGCCGAAGCTATCCTTCATGATATGTAGGCGAGGTGCCGATGCTCAGCTGCAAAGTCAGTTGTTGAACGCACTTGTTTTGGAGGCCAATGACACTTTTTTGTGGAGTTGTGCGGGGGAGCATGTTCGGGGTTGGAAACGCTGAGCTGTTGCTGGCTCAAGGCACTTAAGTGGGGCGTGGAACGCCATGACTTCGCCCTCATGGTAGGCAAGGTCGAGCGGCGTGTGCGGCCGCTGGCCGCAGCGGCGGGCAACACAGTTTTGGCATCTCAACATCGTTTCGTTGATATCTTGATCATGCAGATTTACAGCTGTTTTTTTGTGGAGAGGTGGTGCCGTACCGGTTGTGAAGCACTGAGAAGCAGTTTATGCATCGCGGCTTGGAACAATGGTGGATAGTTCAAAGTTTTTTTTGAGGCATGCTACCCCCTTGGCGGCGCTGATCTCGCGGCCATGTTGGCATGTTTGGCCAGAGATCTAAGAATCTAGTGATATTTCTTCCGGGAGCTCAGATGCTTTTTTCTGCTCACCTTTTTGGGACACAAGAGTACTCAGCTCAGACCACAGCCAGGCTGGTCCGCTCACACGACGCCAAGTGATCAACCCGCAACTACGAGTCGGCCAGCTTAGCTTTTCATGCTTTTGTCTGTGAGTGATGAGCCCTTCTGGCCACGGAGCAGTTGGAAGCTCCGGCCCACTTTCCAGTCTATCCTTTCAGCCTTTCAACTTCTCAAATGTTTGTCTTGGCACTCTCCGAGCGATCCTGCTGTGGGGACACGAGAATGATAAAATGGAGCTTGTCGAGGAGCTGGCTTAGATTGGCGACTCGAAAAAAAGGTCGAAACTGCGAACTTGTGACCAGCCTGCCTGGGATGGCACGGCATAGCATTTTCATGTATCTTCCAATCAATGATCAAGGCAGGCATCTATGAGTCCACGAGTGAGCAAACAGCATTGTTCGAGCTGCTGCACAAACATGTGTAATATATATGTGTATAAACATGTGTATAAAGCATCATAAACATTTTATATTTATGTATAGAAAGGTGCAGCAAAAACTCTGAAGAACGAAACAGTTTTTTTTTGGGGGGGTAAGTGACACACACACACTTATGGATATGCATACGGAACTGATAGCGGTGCCACACGCCGGCCTAGGGTTCCAATTCCTAAGGGTACAGGTAAGGAAACCTAAAAGGAAGTGGAGGTCCAAAAGAAATACCGATCGAACGGACGACAAGTTCATCACTGCTGCAGTAGCCCTTTACTGAAGGAAACAGCGAAGTAGACAGCTTGAGCTCTACGTAGGTTTCTCTTCAAGCAGGTACGTCAATCCGGCGTCCCGGATTGATTTCACCAGCACACATCCTGTGTCTTCGTTGGTGCGAGACTGGATGGGCTGCTTGCACCCCCTGCTGACTGAAACAATTCAAAAGAATCCCTGTGACTTCAAGGGGCACACACACACATGCGCGCGGGATCATTTGGGCCCGCTCCTACCGCGGCTGGCGCCGCAGCAATCGTCTCTCCACCATTGAAGTCGATGCACGCAATCATTACAACTTTTCTTGCGCGAGAGCACAGGGGCCAATTCTGTGTTTCTTTTTGGCTGCAGGCTGGTGGTTTCAAGCTTTTGGCAAGTAGCCGACATGTACCAGCGTTTTCCTGCAGGGTCGGTGTCGCTGCGTCGTGTTCACATAGATGTGTTGAATTGAGAGGAGTCGTTTGTTTACCTGGCCTTTCATGGACCCGGCGATGCAAACGATACAAGAACCAGAGATATGGTAAGTAGGCGGTATTACAATTTTTATCCACGGGTTTTTCAATGTTTTCTCTCACTCTCCCAGACACACCTCATGATGTGGGATATGCATTTTCAATCCCTAACGACAAAGAGGCCCCTACCTAAAGCTCAGCGCGACCCAACGCAATCAGTGTGGACGGATTTATGCACTTGACTGGCAGCCTGACAATTTGTTGAACCGTAGATCTGTGTGCCGGGTTTTCCTGCCACAGAAAATTATACTCCAAGGCGCGGGAAATGGTTTCCAAAAATCATCTCGGAGTTTTAAAGTCCAAACGGTTGGACCTCGTAGGTTGGATTTTCGTTTCGGGGTATGCCCGGACATCGTCTATTTATTGAACCTCGGGCCCAACAGGTGTTTGCAAAAAAACAGAGAGAGGGAGGCACCCTACTTCTGCCTTTCCAATGTTTCATGTATGAGGCCATCTCTTTGGAGCAAGGGCCTCAAATCGAGCATTGTGTCATACGCTGGACAGCCCGTTCTCAAAGCGCATGCGCTGCGACAAGTAGCGCCAATTTTGATGGTGATCCCAATTGCAGGCGTCCTTGTGCCGAGGTATTCCCATGCAGAGCTTGCCGCGGTCAATGGTCACGTTTGTAATCACCATTTGCTTGTAGCGTGTAATGTCAGACATGCGTTCCAGAACTGTAGCATTGTTGGCAAACTTGCCTATTTTCTTGGCTCGAGATTCTGTTGATCTTCATGTTCTTTTCTTCACTGTGCCCGAACATGTTTCTACTTTGTGTTAGCCATGTGTACACGCATGGCATGGTGGACCAATCAGGCGGACGGAGTCTATACGAAATAGACAAATGCAATTGAACATACCAACTGCATCACATCAAACAACGGCCGTCGCAAAACATGTTGACATGGCCAGCCGGTCCCCAAGGCATGTTGGAAACAGTCAGTTCAAGAAGAGCCGTGGGCCGTGGCCGTCCGAGGTTGGCAAAGTCAGCTTGAGAAACTCCAAGCCGAAGCGTCCGGAACTCAAAGGGCGTGCCTGATGTGGCATGGGTGAGACAAGATCTTGTGTGGAGTTAAATGTTTGCAGCAACCAAGGTCTTACTTCCACAACCCAGGCGCAGGACCGTTTGAACCTCACAGTCGACTCCAAAATTCACTTGCTTGGTTTTGCTGAGGGGTTGTTCATTTTGGCACCAGTGGCGCACATGCAGCAACACCAGTGGACATAAGAGTGATTGCTTGAGCAGTTTTTCCAGTGGGCTTAGCTCTGGACCGGTGGGTGTGATGCTGTTGATGTGATGCTGGCTGCGTTCGCTTCCACGAGAGTGGTTTAACCGTTTAACCAGGATTGGTCAAACGGGCCTCAGGGTGCCAAAGCTTGTGCGTTGCCAAGCCTTTTGCCCTGTGGCACGTCATGCTTGCTAACTTGTCAATTGTGGCGATGTCCTGTGAGGGCCTTGGACCGAGAGCCAGATGAATGTGGATTGTGAGCGTAAAATTGCTGGTGGTCAACGAAGGGTAGCCCGTTGTGCTTTAGCCAAAATGCTCTGCCCGTGACGGCCTACAACACAAAAGCCATCATACAAAGTCTCTCTAGACTCTAGACCTAGATCAGCTTGTTGAACAGGGCTGCACACGCCGGTTTTTACAATGTGTCGTGGATGTTGGTCTAAGCGCGCACGTGCAGGAATGGAACAAAAAGAGTTATGACTCATGACATGTGCTGGATTGAATTTGAGGCCCAGATACCTGCCACAGACGTTACCACCCTTGCGTGTGGTACTTGGACTTCTCGTGTTAGACATGTTTTCTGTCAGTTGGCAGCTTGGTAGTTGAACCTGCCAAGGCAAGGTCGGATTGCAAGGAACCAAGAAGGCGGTAAAGGCCCCACTGCGTCTCAGAAAGGGATTGGTTCGGGACACCGCAATTCCATTTTTGGCTTTGTTTGCTTGTGTCAGCCTTTTCTGAACACCTGAAAGACGCGTAAAGACTCAACTGCACCTTTAGAAGTTCTAGGCATTTCTCTCTCTCTCTATCTCTCTGTCTGTCCTGTCTGTCCTGTCTGTCTGTCTGCCTGCCTGCCCCTGTCTTGTGGTATGCTGTCCAGTCCCTCTCTGTCTGGAGTCTCGGTTCCGCATCTTTTTTGCTCCTCATGGCCATACCTACACGTCAGGAATCACGACTTCTGTGTGTGTGTGTGTGTGGAACGTGCGGGTTCAGGAATGCATGCCAGGTCCCAGAAGATCCAAGTTCACTTACGGGTGATAAAGTAAGGCGCGGTTGCTCGATTTTGGTGTGTTGCTTCTTGTTTTGGGCACGTCGAAGGATGTTTGCAAAACACACTGTACCAACAACTCAGCTCAGAATAGAATGGCCAAGACAAATAATAGTGCAGATAAAGCATACTTTGGAAGACATTCTTCAATGGACTGACATCTTTGAAAGCCTGAGCGACGCCCAGGCGAAGCGTTCGCTGTGGGCCGCGGCCCGGAGTAGATGAGGCAGCATGACTGTGCGGGCCACCAAATCTTGTTGCCGTGGTTCATGGAAGCTCGTGGTACCAGAGTCACTTTGTGAAGGTTATTTTTTCAGAATTGCCTTTTGTCCACCCCGCACCAGCCGCTCGTGACTGATCAACGCAGGCGTCATGGCTTCGCAGCACTCGCTCCATCCAAAGGCGAGGACATCCGATGCCAGTGATTGCGACCTGTCGTCTCTGTTTTTCGTCTTGATTGACGCAGGGCCTGGCGTGAACTGCTGCAGCACAGGCGGGTTCCAGTTTCATGGAGTCGCAAACGCAGGACCAGAAGTTGCAAAACCAAGATGTGCTCCAAGGTCTTTGCACCTTTTTCTCTGTTTTGAGCCTTTTTCTTTAAATGAAGGATGGACATGTATATAAGTAAGGGCATGAGCATTGATCGAATCTGCAATCCTTGGACCAAGAGCACAAGGGTTGTGAATTTTAAAGGTCACACTGAAAATAAAATTGTATTTGTTGTTAGATTTGCTTGGATGAATAAAAACATGATTTTGTTCCTCCCACTTGCACCCTAGTCTGGAGAAAAAACCCGAAGGGAAGAGAAGCTGGTGGATGGCTAAAGGATTGATTGGAGAACGTGAGGAAACACAGACCAGCATCCTGGTTGGGGCTGCTGAGTGCGATCGGTTTTGAGGCCGTTGCGAGGATTGAGAAGGATTGTTTCTAAGGTCTTATGGAGCTAGAAAGCGGATACCCTGCTCACGAAGAACTTAAGGACTTTCAGGAACCGAGCAGCCGATGGGGAAGTGGAATGGGATGCCCGCTGCCTGCTCATGAGGAATGGGCATCTTCGGCGCCGTAAGTTGGGGAAGGATCTCAAAGCACATCTTTTCTCAGAAGAGATGAGTCGTGAGTCGAGTGAGGATCTGTGGGGCGTGCGAGAAGGAGGATGCAAATGGAAAAGGGAAAACGCGGCACGAATCCGAGGAGATCTGGCAGTCAGGAGCTGCAAAGACTGGGCCGACAGAAGAAATGAGGCACTCAGGAAGAGGGATGAGGCAAAATGACGTGTCTCCAGTGTGGGAGAGCTCACGCACCAAGGGGGAGAAACATGGAGAAACTGTCATAGGGCTTCTTCAGCACCTTGGACAAGGACTGAGCCAAGGGTGTTGTCTTCAAGAGGCAAAAGATAAGGCAAAAAATCTGACCGAAAACGACGAAGAGATTAGGACAGGAAATAAGACCAGCCCTGCGGCGGTCCCCCCAGCAGGAAAGCCCAGCGCCTGTTTGGGTGGGGGCTGGCTTTGGTTTTTTCATGGAAGAAAGTAGTAGGGCATGAACGTTGATGAACCCGCAGCTGTTTGACCAAGAAAGTGGACAAAAACCACCTGCCAAAGCGGTGATGCGTGCACACAATTTCAATTTCTCAAGACTTGACACATCTCAACACCCAAAACTCTAAGCTGACTATCAAACCAAACGCCCGCCATCTTGGGGCCCAGGCGCTTGATGGTGGCGAAGCTAGTTGCCCAGCCGAAGAGCCTGCTTGAACGGTTGAATGAACCGTATGCAACGATCCCAAGGAAGCAGCTTGCCGTGGACGTTCGACAGCGAGAGGCCTCCAGAAAAATGGAGAAAGAAAAGGGAAACTGCCAAAAGACCCAGCAAAGACGTGAATGGAATGTGACATTACATTTGGGCACAACTCAATGCAGATGATCAACTCGTTAAGGTGCCGGCCCCCTCGCAGATGCAGAGGCGCCACGATCTTTTGTGTTCATGTGGGAGAGGTGCAATCGGTGGATCATCACAAGTTGACATAAAGGTGAACGCGTTGTGTTTTTCATCGGGTCCTTGGACTGCACTGCCCTTTTTTTGAACTACGTCAACCTCCCAGGGCACCAAGGGCAGAGCCTGGGCCCAGTGACCTTCCAGAGGAGGACCGTGTGATGGGCCGTACAAAACTGAGTGAGTACAGCCATTTGAGCAAACGCCAGGACCTTTGGAACGAAGCGATTTTCTTTCGACAGCCTTCCGCTTCTCAGATTCAATGGTAATTTCAGTTGGTGGTTCTTGTGACAAGCCCATTTTGGTATCCATACTTTATATTTTGGAAGTTTGTTTTGGACGTTGAGCATTTTCAAAGCCCTTTTGCCGATGTTTGTGTTGGACATTTCATTCGTAGTCGACATTTGTGAGACGTGGTAGTCTAGGTCGATCAGCTGTTGGAGGCGCAGGTGCGCTGGTGCCGCGGGAAGACAGCAGAGGCCGGACCAAAGTGACCTGGAGTTGGGCTGGGACAGCACGGGCTGTGGTCCATCTTCCATCACTCTTGTTGGCACTTGTCAGACATTGTCCTGCAAGGAGGAGGTGGTTGCACTCGGCTCGGGCCTGAGCCACAAGCTGCGTGCCCCGCAAGGTGCCCCGGAGCGCTCCGAGGCGAAGCTCTTGCGGCGGAGGTGTTGCGAGACATGCGACGATTGGAGCGTGCAGGGCCCAAGAGCTTTATCGATGGCTTCGGGGGATCGGCCTTCTTTGGCACGAGGCCACCTACAGTTGAGGATGAGAGGCAGCTGCCACAGCTGTGTTCTTTGTCTCTGTTGGTTTGATTGAAAAGGATACTTTGTTTCTCTTGCTCCTCAGTGATTGCGTCACCTCATTGTCCGCTCTCGGCCAGCGGCTCGTGTGTCAAAAGCCGCAGATTGGAGGCCCCTTGATGTTGGGTATTGAGTGACCCCTTGCAACTGTTTAGATTAGATTCAGATAGACTCTCGATGAACAGTATGCAGAAAGTTTAGGATAATATAGGATAATTATATATATATATATTTGTGACAAAATCCCGCACGGAGTTCCTGAATTCAGCTGCGTGACAGCCTTTCTATGGCTATGGCTGTGGTTTCGCAAGATGCTTCTGCCGGCGTGAGGGCGGCGGCACTTGTTGCGCCTGATGAGACAGCTTCTAGGCTGCAACTGCTAAAACGTTGAGTGGTGACTTGTGAGCAGAAAGAAACTTCCCTAAATTTCTTGGCTTTCACTGCACGAGGCGTATGACCTGTTTCAGATGCTACGCAACAGCCGTGGAACTGCTTTGCCATGCTTTGATGAGCACCTGCCAGCAGGCATTCTAAGCCCAGACTATGCAGTGGTGCTGCATGGCGAGCCGAGCACGGGCAAGTCAGTGCTGCTGCGAAACATCCTTGCGACCCATTTGCTTCCGAAGGCCTGTGATGGTCACGGACTTCCCTCAGTGCTGGTGGATGCTGATAATGCCTTCGATGTGTGGCTCTTGGCCAAGCTTCTTCAGGATCGGGCGCGGCGCAGTGGTGTCAACTCCGAGGAGGCTGTGGATTTGGTCACTGACGCCTTGGGTCGATTGCTGGTCTTCCGGCCCTGTGAGCCCTTGGATTTGCTGCAGCAACTCCGTCAGCTGCGTAGCATCTTCTCCTCAAACCCCACTGCAGGGCTGTTGGTCATTGACTCCATGTCAGCTTGGCAGTCCATGACGGCAGCCTTCCCTCGCTCTGCCGGTGCCACCCTGAAGGAATGTTGGAGAGCTGTGGCCCGTTTGCAGCAAGAAGCCTCAGTTGCAGCCGTCATCGCCCACCGCGACGCAGCTGTGGAATTCCCCTTGCACTTTGAGGCCATACACTTGGGTGTTGGGTGCTGCCCCAAGGTCCAGCCTAAAGGGGAGGAGCATCTGGAAGCAAGTGCGCACTCTGAGCATGAGTGTTTCTATATAGCGCCTGGGGGAAAGGTGCTGGATTCAAGCGCCCTCGATGCACAGACCTTTTTCGTGATTTCGCCTGCTGGCGAAGTAGTAACAATCCCAACACAGCCAGAGTTGAGGCCTCTAAGTCTAAGTGTGGGCCACAACCATTTCTGAGCAACTCCACGGCTCGAGATGCAAGGCATGCAAAAAAATGCCCAAGTTCTGTCGAACAACTCTTTGGGGGGCTCGTTGCAAAGTTTTTCGTTTTTCATGAGGTAAAAAAGTCAAAGCCCGAGCTTTGCAGCCCATCACCAGGTACCTCCAGTGCATGGCGGCCACCCTGTGCTGTCGGCCCAAGCGCTTGTATACAGATTGAGGCTTGCAAAATGTGCGTGTCGTGCGGGACATGGTGTCAGCAATGGGCCTGGAGTAGCAGCCAATCTTTGTGCCAGGTCTTGATGCAGTCTGCTGTGGGTCCAGGAGTTCTGCCAAATCTCTGTGGATATGTGTGACATGGTTTTACCAGTCTTCCATGTACTGAGGAGGGGCAGTTCCACATTGGCTTGCCTGGCTCCTTTGAAGGGATCGCACTGCATGGATGACGCCTCAGGCTTGAGATTTCCTTGGCCCCGCTCTCCAGGCTCGTGCCAGCGGTGTCGCTCTTCCAACTTTGCTTAGCCAGCAGCTATCTCCATGGGATGCAGCTGCAACGGAGCGAACAAGTCTGAAGCATGGATGAGCCAACGGCTGTTGTCACTCCGTGTGTAAAACTCTGCCACCTGGAGGAGTTATCAGCACCTTGATGAGCTTGAGGCTGGGATGTTTGACATAGCAACCATAGCAGACCTCTTTTTTCTCAGCATGAGAATGCATTAGTCATTAGTCACCAGATGTGAAGATGAAACTGGTCTGTTTTACCCTATACCTTGACCCCTTGCAAGGCCTCCTTGAATGCTGCTCCTCCTGGCAGCTATGCAGAAGCTGCCAGTGCTTTTCCCAGACAAATTGTGTTTGACAATCTTCAAAATGACCCTCTCATTGCTCACCCAATGGGCTTTAACGTGCTGCCCTTGGACCACGAGGCGCTGCCCTGCACGCACGGGCCACGCTCCTCCGCGCCTGTTTGGCGCACCGTGAGGGTCGCTTCGCAGCGGCGGAGGTTGCGGCCGGGGATCTCACGGGAGCCTCCTTTGGGGATCCCATCGGGAGGGGGGTGTTTTAGCAGTGGATGGCAGGGGTGTTCTTTGCCGAGATTGCTTCTCGTGCTTTACTTGGCCGAAACAACTTGCATAATAGAGTTGGTGGGTCAAAGGCAGTGACTGGGGTCCCCGATAGTTTTGGGTTTTGATTTGGTTCACAAGGTGAAGACCCTTTGCTCGAGTCGATTTGTATCGGTGGTCTTCTGTGGCCGTTGCTCGATGCAGCTCCTTGACCTGTACAGTGTGACCCCGTCAAAGGCGGAGAGGTCCGGTATTTTCCGTTAGCCCCAGCAGTGTTCGTCTGTCACAGCTATCTGCCTGACTCAGTACAACGTCAACACCCCAGACAGCAGAGGAACCCTGAACTCTTGTACCTTGTACCATTGTCCTAAGCTTTTCCTAGCCCAGACAGCACGCGCAAGAGCAGCCCGAGATGTTTGGAGTCGGACGTTTTTCCTTGTGATGGCGACTGGGCGGAATGAAGGATGGCTGAGGGGAGTCCACTGGAGATCCTGCTAATGCAGGGGTTCCATTAGCAGCTTGGACGCAAGTTCCTGAGTTACCGGAGGCCGAAAACATTTGGAAAGACTGATCCAATCGGGTTTCTGTTTGGCCCATCATGGAGTCCAAAACGATCCAAAACAGCACCTGGGAGTCTGTGATTTGGGCTTTTGCTTTTGAGGCTGCCCGGAGTTGGAGGATGCATTGGCAGGGAATTGCAGCACCGCAGGCGAGCCATGAGACCCCGGCAGTATGTTTGATGTGATGGTGGTGTCAGCATGTGTCTAGCATTCGCATTGCAAACTTGTCAAAGTCTATGCAGAAGTGGGGCAATTATACAACTTTGCAACCAACTTTGGCCTTGAGTGCACGCGTTGTTGGCTCGGCCTCTTGTTGATCCTGAGGAAAAGCAATCATTGCAGTCAAGGGCCTATTGGCCAGCAATTGGCCGTGCCCCTTGGCCAACAAAACAGCTTCATGTCCTAGCCTTCATGCGAGCAGACCCAAGCAATGCCTATGCACCCGTTTTGGTGGTGAGTGCGCAGCACAAGCATGAGGTTTCGCCAAAGCAAACGTCCATTGCCAACCAACATGAGCTGCAACGAGAGGAGGTGAACGGAGCCAAGGTGCGCACCAAATGAGCAAGAGACACATAGATACTACACTTGAGAAGACCTTCCAATTCCACTTGTCCACCTGCGATTGATCAGGGTATACGGATGTTTGCGGTATATTGATATATATATATAT